TATTAATATAATATAATATAATATATAACTTTTTTTCTATGATATTTAAAATATATATTTATATATTTAGATTAGAAATACTTTGGCAAGAAGAATTAAATAAACATGGTTCATATTTAGCATCATTTCCAAATGTAGCTTGGAAATTTGTGAGAACAAGAATATGTATAGCTGGATTTTTATTAAGTTGTTCTACAATTTGTGGATTTATTAGTTCTGTATGTTTTTTAGTTTTATAAATTTAATTTCATATGTATTGTTATATAAAATTTTATGTTTCTATTATAGATGATACTAATGAAAAAAATACTAGAATATGTTCAATCACCAGAAGAAAATATATGGATAGGTATAAAATGGGCACTGTTATTAACATGTTGTGATTTTTTGCGATTAATATTTTTTAACTGGACTTGGAATACTAATATTAGAACAGCATTAAGATTAAAGAGTGCTTGTACAACTCTTTTATATAAAAAAATTATTAGACTGAATAATCTTGGAAATAAAAGTACAGGAGAAGTAAGATTTCAAATAAATAATATTGTTACATTAGATTTAATTTCACATCTATTAGTGTTTTATAATTTTTTAGATGATTAATTTATTTACAAATGATAGTCAAAGACTTTTTGATGTTGTCATTTATGGACCTATGATATTTAGTGGTCCAATAATTATTATTTGTGGTATAATTTATATACTTTGGGTATTTAGTCCAATAGCTCTTTATGGAATATTTACTTTTCTTGTATTTTATCCTTGCCAGGTGAGAAATTATTGAGAAATATTTCTTTATACAATTTTTTATATTTAAAATTTCAATATTTCCATAATTCTATATTTTTATACTTAAAATTTCACCATATAATATTCCATAATATTAATTTTTTTAACAGTATCTTCTATCCCGTGCAGTTGGATATTTTCGTTCGAAAACAGTTATTATTACAGATACACGTGTAAAATTAATGAATGAAATCTTAGAATGTATAAAATTAATTAAAATGTATTCATGGGAGAAATATTTTAATCATAAACTCCTTGGTATAATTACTATTTTGCTAAATAAAATAAATTATTATGATAGCATTATAATTTTAATTTTCATTATCTTTTTGTATATTAATTAATTTTACAGATATACGAAAGAAAGAGGAATATTGGTTGCATAAAACTGTATATTTCCAAAGTCTTGCTATTTCTTTAACACCAGCTATACCTGCAATATCTGCAATTGTTACATTTCTAGCACATTTATCTTCAGGCAGTAATTTAATTGCTTCTCAGGTATACATTATATTATTTATATCTGTATACATTATTTTGCAAATTGAAAATGAATATTCATATTATGTAGATTTATATTTATTTAGATTTCTTTGGAGGAATATTAGAATAAGTAATTCCAAACCAAATATATAAATCGCTACAATTCAAAAACATTATTAATTAAATAGTAAAAAATAGTATAAAATTCTGCATATTTAGAATTATGAAACAAGTGTTGCATTTAATAAGATGAATATTGCAGGCTTTTCCAATTACAACATTTTTCGGAAATATGTTGAGAATGGCACTCTCTTCCCTTAAGGATTCTACACGACATTTTATCGACGCTCATATTGCTCTTAGAAGAATTAAGGTCTCCCAAAATTTAAATTATAATTTAATTACAAAATCTCTCACATTTTAAATGTTTAATGGATGGGTATTTTTCATTTATTATTAACAAACAAATTCTCATGTACTTTATATCAAAAAGAATATCTTATATATTTATTAAAGTAATTAAATAAAAAATTGATATAATTGATATAATATATACGAGAATTTTTTTATTAATAATATTATGTTTATATGTCAATAGTAAATAGTCAAAAGTTTGCTAACATAAAGGGGAAAGTGTGGCACATATATAAATAAATACAAATAATTGCTTTTTCTCTTACTCCTCCTTGTTATATATATATTAGAAAGATAAACAAAGCTATGTATGATTAAAATGCAAATGTTGGGAATAATTTAACATAACATAATAAGTTTGCGGTACTATATAATAAATTCACATACTAAATTATAATATATTACTTTTTCCAGGTATTTCCTTTTGTAACATTGCTCAATTCTCAATTTCGTTCTTCATTTTTATTTCTACAAGTGGCGTTAATTAATATTGCCGAGTCAAATATAACATTCAACAGATTGCAGGTGTTTACTTTTGCATTTATCTGTATTAATAATAATTACTAATTATATTAATATAAAGATTATAATTGGTTATCTTGCAAATAACATTTGCATTACAGAAAAAGTTTAATTCGCTTTCATTGTATAATAGTATATATGTTGTATAATAATATATATATTATAATAGTTATAAAAATATACAGTGCTTTGTAGTATAGTTTATTTAATGTTTAATTAATCATCTTATAGATAATGCATTTGAATATTCTGTAATAATTCATTGCACTTTTATGTTATGCATTGCATGTTTTAAATCATAATTTCCACTTTTAAAAACTTTTTATATGATATTTTTATATAATATTATAAATTTAATATTTATTAATTAAAATAATGAATATTGTTAATAAGATGATTTGGCTTTGCTTATAATCATTCGATTTTCAAGTTCGTGAATAAATATTAAAATTTCGATAATCATTTTCAATAATTAGTGATATTTGTGCAGAATATATTACTTTTAGAAGAGTACACATGCCATATATCAAAACCAATTGTAAAATCACAAGCTGTAGCCATTGCTAACGGTACATTCGTTTACGAAAATTCTACTTTGTGCGCTAAAAAATTAAAAAATATTAGAAAAAAAAAGTAAGTTCTTTGAAATTAATAAATTTTTATTTTTATTTTTTTATTTTTTTAAATTTTTATATTTTTTTCAGAAAAATTGTATCATATTTAAGAAGCAAAGTTGAATTGGAAAAACTTAATGAATCGTCCCAAGAAACTGAATATGTTGAAGTACTTTCAACTATTAAGTTCGGAGTAGCAAAAGGTGGATTAATAGGAATTTGTGGACATGTAGGAAGTGGAAAATCTAGTCTTTTGCTTGCTGCTTTAGGACAATTAAAAATAATGAACGGTTGTATTTTGAGAGAAGGTTCTTGCGCTTATGTTAGTCAACAGGCGTGGATTGTTAATGCAACTTTCAAAGAAAATATATTGTTTGGAAATCAATTTGATGCTAAACGATATTATCAAACATTAACAGTATGCAATTTAAAAGAAGATTTGAATATGTTACCGGGTGGAGATGAAACTGAGATAGGAGAAAGAGGTATAAATCTTTCAGGAGGACAAAAGCAAAGAATTGCTCTTGCTAGAGCACTTTATGCTAATCGGTATGTTTTTTTTTTTTTACTGTTAAAATTCTTAATTTCTAAAATATACAATTATATTTTTTAAAAAGATCATTTGTTTTTTTTTTTTAAGAGATATATATTTTTTGGATGATCCATTAAGTGCAGTAGATACACATGTGGGTTCTTATATTTTTAAAAATTTAATTCTCGGAGCGCTCAAAAATAAATGCGTGTTATTTGTAACACATCAAATTCAAGTATATTTTCAATAAATTATATTCTTAAATTCAAATAATTCATGTATATAATTATGCTTAACATTATATTTTACTAATTATAGTTTTTAAAACATTGTGATCAAATACTTGTAATGCATAAAGGAAGAATTGTAGAACAAGGTACACATGATGAATTGATGCAATTAAATAAAGAATATGCTACAATGGTAGATAGTGCATTATTAAAAACGGAGATCGATTCAAAATAGTATTTATCTTACAAATAATTTTTAAAAAGCTTTTGAATAATTATAATATTAATAATTATATTCAATTTATTTAGTGAAATTGTGATACCGATTCAAACAAATAAAGATTCTAATAATGATTCAAAGAGACAAACAATAACTTGTAATACAGAAGATAATGATGAATATATTGAAGCATCAACAAAAATATATGAAAAAGGTATGTATTGAAAAAATTTAAATTATCAATTTGTTACATTTGAGTTTATTATTTATATTAGAAGCAATCCTTACTACTCAAGAAAAGATGGGAATGGGTACTGTAAAATCATATATTTATCATATATACGTAAAATCTGCGGGTGGTTATTTTATAGCGGTTTTGGTATTTTTGACACTCTTCTTAAACATTGGAAGTTCAGCATTTAGTTCTTGGTGGTTAGCTATATGGATTAAAGCTGGTAATGGGGTAAATATTTTCTCCTATTTTAATTGTATATTTTTATATTTTTTCTTTTTTTTTTTTTTCATTAATCTTTCTCATTTAAGAATATTATTAATTCCAATAATAATAAAACTATATCATCAAATAATTTAAATGATAATCCTAATTATTCATATTATCAAAATATTTATATTGGTTGCATTGGAATAATTTTATTAACAAGTTTATTGCGTGGTTTGGTTATTATGTATGCTACAATAAATGCTTCGACGACATTACATAACAAAGTTTTTAAGAAAATAATTAAAACAACAGTAACATTTTTTGAAACAACTCCTATTGGAAGAATACAAAATATTTTTAGTCGAGATATTGATGAAGGTAGGATATATTGTTTTTTGAACTGTAATGCTACTGTTCACGAACTGTTATGTATCATAAACTATTGTATATGTTGTCATGCTGATTGTTTATATATTTTTGCGAGCAATGAACAATTTTTAAAAATTGTTTGTAAATTATTTGCAAATTATTTGTGAACAATAATGCAAATCTAACATTAAATATCAAAATAATTATATTTCTTAATTACTTTTTTATTGTAGTGGACAATTATATACCAATTTCTGTAGAAAACATGATACAAAATATAATTACTTGCAGTTTTGCAATTGTGTTTATATGTGCAATATTACCCTGGTATTGTTTACCATTAATTATCCTTGCTGCTATTTTTTTTTATATTAGCAGGATCTTTAGGTGAGATATTTTGATATTTTAAAATAAAATTTACAATATTCTTCAATAATATTTTTCATTATTATTCTTCAAATGTAGCAACAGAAAAATTTTTTCAGAGTAGCAATGAGAGATTTTAAGCGAATGGAAAATATTTCACGATCTCCTGTTTTAAGTTTCATTACCACTACCATTCATGGTCTAAATACTATTCACGCATTCCAAAAGGAAACAGCATTTGTAAACAAGTATATTTCTTAAAATAATACATTACTGTACATTATTATAAAGTATTTCAATAACAATATTATAAGACAATATTTTATTATTGTTTATAATATGTGAAAATAGTCAAGGAATACATTTTTCGAAAAAATATATTATGATGAGAATTATTTTTTTTTTTTGAAGATATTTTTTGAGATTTTAAAATCATTATATTTTTTTATAGTACAATCATTAATATTTTTTTATGTTTAATAAAATTTTTTCAATATAAAAAAATGATGTTTCAAAAAAAGTTCTTTTTTGAATTGGTTACAAATTGCAAGACTTAAAATTTAAAAAAAAAAATTTATTTCTATAAAATATGAAAATCATCTTAATTTTTTTTAAATAATATGGTGTATTTTTGATTTCAAAATATTGTTGCTGATATCAAAACGTATCTATAATATTAATTTTGAGTTTATAAATCTTAAATTTATTGATACATAGGAACATTAAAATATGAAAGTTGATTTAATAAAATATTAGATCAGATATTTTTAGATAATATTTGTACCATTAACAAATTACAATAATAAAAATTATTAAATTATTTGATTGATAAATTGATACATATATTATGTTATCATTAAATTGATACATAGATCATGTTGCTGGTCACCAAATTTATCTCCATTAAATTTTTCTTATGAAAATGTTTATAGTTATTTATTTATTATTTATTTATGAGAAACCCACAAACTATATACAAGATCTTCAATCATGTTAAATTATTATTACATTAAATTATTATATCTATGTAGAAAAGTATATTTACAAAGTTTATTTGTTGCTACACATTAAAATTTATTCAAAAGAAAACTATCAAAAAATAGATACATTTAAAGATTTATTATAAATATAAATACATAAACAAAAAATTTAGTGTATAATTTCATATAAAAAAAAATAAAACGATTCTCATCTTCTATTAAATAAAAAATACTTTAGTAATTTTTATTATTGCAATTTATTGAAAATACAAATATTATTGTAAACATTTGATATAACAGCCTATTAAATCAAATTTCATAGGAATCATGCTAATATCCTAGAAATCAATGAATTTCAAATTTATGAAGCTCAAGATCAAAAAATCAAGAAATTATAATGTTATATATTGTTGAATTTGATATTAATCAACACTACAATACTATAAAATAAAAAATACATTATATATTTAAAAAAAATCAAGATGATTTTATTAAAAAAATTTATAGAAAAAAACATTTTTTGGAAATAATTTGCAATTTGTATTAATTTAAATCAAATTTTATTTGAAAATTTTGTCTTATATTTTTGGAGATTTTTAAAAAATCATCTTTGCTGGATGCTAATAATAGGATGAAATACTACAAAAAGATAATTTATAATTAAATTATAATAATATAGTAAATTAGTATAAGTAAATTATAATAATAAATATTCACTGAAAAGTCAATGAAAATAATTTTGAACATTTATTACAATAAATTTTCCTTTATTAATTTCAAAATTATTTTATTGTAGCTCAAAGTGAATAAATCAGATTTATTTTTATGAAAAAAATTTTTGATGATTTTAAAGTATCAAAAAATATAATGTTGAAAAATTATTTTCATAATATGTATTTTTTGGAATTAAATAATTTTTTAAGCATTTAACTAAGATATTATTTTGTAATAGAATTACTGAAGATATCTTGTATAATAATTGATTATTACATTTTAGATTCGAAGAATTATTTGATTTAAACAATTTGTGTCTTTATTTATGTCAATCTATCATGAGATGGTCTGCTGTAAGACTTGATATTTTGGCAATTGCTTCCTCTTCTATTACTGCTTTTCTTGTAATTGCACTTAAAAACCAAATATCTCCAGCCCTTGCTGGTTTAGCAATGACATATGCTATGCAAATGACTGGCATTTTTCAATACACTGTAAGATTAATGGCGGAAATAGAAACTCGTTTTATAAGTGTTGAAAGAATAAGCTATTACTTGAAGGTAAATAAAATGATTACATACATGTATATTTGTTATAACTGATAATTAAATTATATATATGTATATATGTATATAACATATTATAGACTTTACAAAAAGAAGAAATTTCTGAGCAACATCTCATAGATCTTCCAGATCAATGGCCTATTGATGGAGAATTAGAATTTTGTAAAGTCGAATTAAAATACAGAAAAGGTTTACCACCTGCATTAAATAATATTTCATTTATTATTAAACCTGGTGAACATATAGGTAGTAATAAGTTGATAAAATTTACACAAAATTATATGATTTTTTTTTAATAATATAATGAATTTTAGGTATTGTAGGACGAACAGGAGCAGGAAAAAGTTCTTTAATCATTGCTTTATTTCGATTAATTGAAATTTCTGCTGGAAAAATTAAAATTGATGGTATAGATATAGCAAAAATAAAATTAAAGTTATTAAGAACTAAATTATCTATAATTCCTCAGGATCCTGTCTTATTTAATGGAACTATACGGTATATATATAAATATATAAATTAAAAAACAAATATATTAAAAATTTATTTATTTTTAATATTTATAATTATATTATAGATCAAATTTAGATCCTTTTAAGCAATTTAGTGATTCTGAAATCTGGAGTGTTTTAGAAAAAACTCAATTGAAAGAAAAAGTACAAGTTATGCCTGGTCAATTGGATGCACCTATTGAAGTTGAAGGAAAAAATTTAAGTGTAGGCGAGCGACAATTATTTTGTCTATCAAGAGCACTTTTGCGTAATGCCAAAGTATGATATTAATAATAATTCTTTGTATTAATTAATAATAAACTTATTTAATTTAATAATCTATTATTCGATTAGATATTAATATTAGATGAAGCAACAGCTGCTGTTGATCCAGAAACTGAAATTGCTGTACAAAATACAATTCAAAATGAATTTTCAAATACTACAATATTAACCATAGCTCACCGTTTGAAGACTGTTATTTCATGTGATCGCATTATTGTTATGAAGAATGGACAAATAATTGAATTTGATGCACCATCTGTACTTTTATCCAATTCAAACTCTGAATTCTCAAAAATGATGACTTCAGCAGAAAAAAACATAAAAGAAATATAATCAATCATTAACAATATCAACAATATTAACAAATATCATTAACAATAGTATTATATTTAATAAGTAAAAACATTAACAAATTAAGAAAATAAAAATATTTTATATATATATATATTATATTATATATTATATTAATTCAATATATTAATATATAATATATAATAAATAGAATTTTT